AAAATTTAATTTTTTATGGTAACCCCTATAAGCTACACACATTAAAAAATGTGGACTTTTCTGCAAAAAAAAACACAGGTACAGGAGTAAAAAAAAGAATAATTTTGTAAAATTTACACGATATTCCTAAAACCCATATATAGAATTGGCCAACGCTCGGTTTGGTAGTGTCGGAGAGTCTCTTGTGGTGTCCTGAATTTGCAATATAAATTTCGGGCTTGGAAAGAAAAAAACACTCCCACGAAGTTACACTTGAAAAATAAAAAAGATGAAAAATCACATTTTAATTCAATTAATTCAATAACGTGGGCAACCATGTGTAGACGAATGTCACCCTCGGCTTCGTAGCGGTAGAGAAAAAGGAATTTGTAAGACGTGGCAGAGTCTCGACTCCACTCGTTGTTTTTTGTGGTGAGTGTAAACACGTGTTAAAATTTGTATTTTGTAATTTCGTAAAAGGACAATTGTTTGCATAAAATGAATCGCATTCGGCACCACACTCCCACTCAGTGAGTCTAATTAGTGTAATTAAATTATTTAACTGTAATGTAAATGTAATATAACACACACGTGACAGGAAATTCACTTACTCAGGCGCAACTATTTTGAATTAATAAATGTATCTAAAAATTTCGGATGCTTTTATTTAAGTTATTATCCTATAACACATTTCTAAATACTGTTCCATTTTGAGAGGAAATATTTTCGTCAATTAAATTAACAAAATAATAGTGGATTTGAAAATACCAGTTTTAATATTTTCTTACAGGTATAATAAATTCTTAGAGATGAATTTGAACATTTATTCCGAAATGATTATTTTGATTTTAATCGTATCGTGCTTTGTTTGTATGTGAATAGATTTTGCTTTCGGTCCACGACGATATAACCTGTGTAAACATTTTTTATTTAACCAACATCTTGGATTAATGCATAATTTGATAAAGTGTACATTCTTTGTTGTTTAAAATTCTTGACAGTGTACGTGCGTTCGAGAAATATAGGATTTGAACTTTTATTTATATAAAAGCACAAGATCACGTAGCGAACCCAGAATACACGGTGTCTAGTCAAAGTTGATGTTTTTTTCTCATTGGTCTAATGGATTGTTAATTGTAAACTTCATAGGGAGACCCACGTCCGCATGAAACGAGCACTTTAGTAATAGTTTGCAGAGATGGGACAGAGCGTATAATATGCGGCAGGTTTTCTAGGCATAGGGATATGGTGTATGGCGCCATACGTGTCAACAAAGTAAAACCATCAAGACTAGGACGGGTATATCCAACACCGCTCTTGTTACAATGTCCTCTACAGCACGTTTGCTAATTTCTCGACTTCCTGTTCCTCCACACAGAACATAGGATTTCTATTCACGATACAAACGCAAGGCCAAATTTTGAATTTTTCGCGGGTTTTAAAATTTCGTAAACATGTCTTAAGTATGGCGGGATGTTTGGGTTCACACACTCTAATAAAAAATTACACTAACGACAAACCATTGAAAACAAGACAGACGGACAGATGGTAACGACCAATTTTTTCAATTTCTAGGAATCATGAAGAATTCATGCGTCAAGATTGATTGATCTATTGGTGACATTAATACATCGACTGGTATCTACTTCAGTTCTCGGAACAGTTATAGCAAAGTGCCAGAAATAGTGGGAATAATTGTCACGTTGACATTAGCGAAGTTTGCGCCAATCTCTAAAGACATTAACAGCATGAAATGACATTTACAACGCAAAATTTCCGATTGAGGTTTTATGAAAAAACCAAAGAATTAAAAAAGGGGAATATTTTAATATAGCTCACTTTGTTGGAGATAACGAATGTAAATCTGTTAATCAAAAACCGTGGCCAAAATTTTCAACGACTCGACATACATTACACACAAATACTAAAACAGCTACCCAGTAAATAAAAAAACTTAATTCTAATTTATATCGTGTGATATAAATATGGTGGATGCGCCGGGAGAATATAATTAAAAAATACAATACATCTCAGCGTACGAAAAGTAAAAATTACAAACAGGTTAATAAACAAACTTGTGTTATTGCAAGCTATAATGTTGGACATATAAATACTTCGTTTAACATAAATGTTACAGCTACTAACAATAGCTGAAACACTGGTTTTCGACATTGGAGAAATATCAAGTTGGTAGTTACTTACATCATTGGAGTTGGCGAGATCTTACAAAGCACACAGTTAACTTTAGCACTCATTATATGTCTGAAATAAATTTACAAAACAGATATTAGGTTCTTCTTTCACTCAGCTTTAGAAAAGTTTGTTAAGGTCTTGTTACTATAATGAAGAAAAATTTTCAACAATAAACAGCTAAAAAAGTGATTCGAATTGCATGTGAAAAAATACGTTCATAAGGAAAAAATGATGAATTATTATCAAAAAATGTTAAGCACAAACTTTCCTAATATAATTCAGGTAAAAAACAATGGAATTCTAAAAAAAAAAAAACAGATAATCTGTAACCGGTCTAACACCTACATTTTAATGTTAAAAATGCCTATTTTTTTCCAGTACACCGTAAATGTAATTAAATTAGTTCTAAAATTCACGGGAAACCTGGATTAAAGCTACCCATTTTCGTATTACATTGTAATAAAAAATCAGTAAGCCCTACCAGATCATGTGAATAATCAGAATTTTTGTTAATAATAATTATCCTTCGCCTGAAAAGACTCTGAGAGGATCAGTGGGAACATAAAATAATTTAGCAACATTTCCTGATGAACATATGAAAACATTCACGAAACGGGAATGTGTGTTTGAGTTATAAACAAAAGCAAGCACCTCCGGTTTGATACCAAAACATGACACAAATTCGATTTAACGTAATGAACAAGGACCACTTTAGGCTAATAACGAGAGCAAACAATATAAACTTTAGCAAAATATTTTCAGTCAATTTTAGTTAAGCAAGCTATGTTAACCTTTGATGCAAAATACAAGCAACGTAGTCGTTTGAAGGAAAAAAATAGTTATATATTCTTTACTTCCACTGAACATTATTCGTCGGTCCTAACACCACAACCATTACTTGATATTCTTAAGAAGGTAGTTTATTTGTGAAAGATGTTTTATTTGTTTTAATTACAATTATTATTAAAAATACTGATTGCTTTCCCTGTTCTAGAGGTTAGGTTACGCCTCTGGTGGTTTGTAAATATTCTGCTGAGTAAACTCTTAAGCGACGTATTTACAATATCCACTATTAAAGAAAACTGAATGGTTTAAAACAGTTACAAGTACCCTTTTAGCTGTGAAAATTTATCGAGTTCGTAAGTGACTTTATAAAGTTATATTAAGCTTGAATTTATGCACAATTTCTGTAGAAAATGTAACAGTGTACCGGTTTCTCTGAAAATAGTTTGTGGCGCAGAGAACTTTCGCAGAATCAATATTGGGAAGGAGAGATCGAAAATTACTGTTTCACAACGCGTTGTTTTGCTATGCGAACCGCTTGTTTACCCATAGCCGAAAATGTAAATATTACCTTTTTAACCTTAGGGTGATCGCGTTCGAGTCAAGTTTGGTTAAATAAATTTTATTTCAGCGTGGTGTTGTAAAGCTAATAATAGACGGTAAACATAAATTCGAATCTCGCACACAGAAGCGAAAGCCAAAAATTATAACGAGCGACAATTATACGAACGATAATATTATCAAAGTGCGTTTAAAATATGGGGTAATTGTGACTGCCAACGATATTCTAAGTCCTTTCGTGCATATCAAAATAATAGCGTGTTAAACCGCAATAAAATAGCTGCCGAAGGTTCGACAAATGATACACTTACCTTTTGTGTTTTCCTCTTTCGGGTGCCTAATTGTTTCTGCGGAATAATTTGACATGTAGATATGATAGTGACCTCTAATAAGAGAGCTTTTCATGCGGTCGTTCTTGCTTGGTAAAACAAACTTAATGAGTATCCTGAATGCCCGAAGGAATCTGATTGCATCTGCTTTCAGGATACTAACGATGGTGTCGTCTGCATTGTTCCGGGTTCATTACTTACTGTCGAATTATTCACGGAAGAGCTTGCAGAATTTTTGTAGTTTTTATGCGGCTTCCGAAGTAGGTTATATAATTGTAAAAATGGTCATCGAGTTGATCCTCTGTCAGCCTTTTAGATTAGCGCATTTATTTAGGTCGGTTAGGGTGAATTGTGTAAGAGTGAAATAAATGAAATGGAGTGTAAGTGGTGAAAACCGACACGGTTAGACCGCAATGATAACAAGGTCGACGTGAACGTGAACAATGGCGGTTCACAAACAGAGCAGTCCTTATTACATCGGCATTGTTTCTTTGATAAATGAATGTTTCCACAGACCAAGATAAAACCATCAAAGAAGAAAGGAATAAAAAGTTGCGATGATAAAGTCCTAGGCGAACAACAACCGCAAAACCGCCGGGCGGCTAGGAGATCAAACAAAATTATTCGAGTTATTTTTGAAACAATTTCTAACTGCGGCGCGGAGAACGAGAAGAGAGAAAAACAAAATAAAATTTGCCACGCTTAGTTTAATATAAGTTGATGTGTGTCGATACAGGAAATGAATGAATTCTGGATACACACCTTAAGTCGTTCCTATTCTATCAACGGATCCTCTAGTGTGAAGATAACGACATTTTCGACATGATGACGGGAAACTAAGAGACGAATCGACAAGAAAACTCCAGGGTGAATTTAATCTAGAGACTCGTGTGTTTGTGGATTTTCAAGTAGTGTTTTGGTATTCCTCGTGGATCGGCCCGTCTCATCAAGACAGAGAGGTCGCGTTTGTATCAGGGATAACGAACCTAAGATAAAGTCCTCCTGATAATGGAGACCGGGATTACTTTATAATTCCCCGTATAACCCATTTTTGTTTGTGTTACACATTTTTAATTTAGGGAGGTGTTTGCTAAATCCGGCACGCACCACCCGACTCTCTTGTTGATTGGATATTTAGCCATTAAAACCCTTGCATATCATAATCCGTTTTTATTTTTTCCAAAATAAAATACATATAAGTGTAATTTTTAAACTGTTAGGATTTGAACTGGAACCGCGGAAAATCGTCCCCGATCAATTCTCGGTTCGAATTCAATAACACTGTTACAGCAATACTCATGCGTTATATATACATTTAGTTAATTCTCAGAGTTATAATTACACAATATTTAAAATTATTTTTCGCTACATATAAATTTAATTTAGTTATAGTCGAACGAATGACAGTTCGGTCGTTCGACTCGCACTAATTAACCATCAATTGACCTCGTCGTCAACCTTACAACTTTTTCATCACAGGGATTTATTTTAAAGTAATGTGACATGAAGTACTGGCAAGATAAATTTTGCGAGACTGCAGCGATATGAAAAATATTGCAAACGGTAGGAACTAATATTTCCAAGTAAATAATTTTTTTCCAAAACTTACCTTGCCACAAATATTCATTCAGGACTTGGATTTCAAATAAGTGCATTATCAAAGTTAAACCTTAAGCGCTAATGTGTCTTCCTGATATGCACATAACACTTCGAGATAAGTTTTTTTACAATCTTCCCTAAAATTATAAACGTATTTTTTACAAACAGACTAGCCTTAAAATTTGGTATTCAGAAATGATAACATGATATTATATTGATCATAAGGAGAAATTTATCAATACAGTGACAGTCTGTGCTGACAATATTTAAATGCTCAATTCGCCTCGATGATTCAGTAACAAACTAAGTTTTTTCTTTTTTTTGAGGGAATGAAGCGTTTAAATTTACATTAGTCTATATGATGCTTAATATTATGGATAAAAATGGCCTGTTCGATGCCCGAAATGATAACGACTAGAAGAATGATTTGATTGTTGGAAACATTTATTAGTTAGATTATGTACAAGAGTAAATGGTTACACTTTTAACATAGATCCAAAATAATAATGTAAACTTATTTCTTTCCTCAAATTAGTGCCATACGAAACTACATTATACATAGAACAGAAACTTTAACAAAACAAATATAGCAGTTTTAAAGGAATGTAAAAAGCAACAGTATAACTGATATCACTTCACACAGGTGTCTTTGGCTTCCACGAATATCTGTTATTAGCGAAAAGCTGATAGAGAGAACACAATTACCTTGGAGATAATGCGAGTAAAAAACAACACATCGCGACGAGGGAAACGTGAGGAAGAAATGCTTTCCGACTTCCTGCAGCTGCAAAAAAAATACTTCAATTAATTTTTTATAACTTAAAACTGAAAGATACAAACATAATATCGGTCTATTTCTATATTGGTTTTGCCACATTTGTCATCCCAAGCATAATATAAAACCATAGTACGTCTTAGTATAATATATAAAAACCTTGTTGTAAAATAGTGCAATAATTTTCATATAGTAAATCTCAAATGGTTACTAAACGCGTTACGTATTTGAAAAATCTGTTGTACATGGAAGTCGATATTTTCTCTTTATTGCAAACAGAATAACAAAATGAAAGGCTCATTTAGAGGATATTTTAAGTAATTAACAAATTTTATTTCTGAAGTTTCTTCTGTATTGATTTATTATCTCCAAGTTATTCAACCGCGTAGTAAATAATTAAAGTGAAACTGGATCTTTGGAAGAAAAAAGCTGTTAATTTGTTAAAGCGTACTGGGAGGCTCTCTACCTTGTAAGTTTATGATTAATTAATGAAAATGGCTCCCCAGATTCCTTTGGAAAGAATTTCTGTGACTCTTTGATACATTGTGTACTGCAGACACGTATTAATAATCTTATCTAAAGTAATATAAAAAATTAAATAGCACCACTCTTCGACTAACACTGAAACTCAGAAGTAATCCTGTCAAGGTGATAATTTTCGCTTGCCGCTTCTGGACGACTAATATAAATGTTAATATTTAATAATTTTGTGCATTGTTCTGCAAAATTTCTACAATTTTTAGAGTAACAGAACGAGAAACTAAATAAGCAAAAGATCTGTATATATAACATACCCGGGGATCAGAAAGTGCGCACTCTTGATATTATATTAACTATAAGCTGTGGAGTTCTTTGACAAGGATAGAGTAAAATTATTTTCCAGCTGAAAAATATTCGGTTTTTGAAGAACAATGTAACACTTGACTTGTTCAAAGAAAACACCCTGTATATTTTTTAGATAATCTACCAGTCCGTTTAAAAGGCTTTACAACCATATCATATTTTTGAACTTCTGTTAAGACATTGCCAACTTATTCCAATTATCTTGAATTTTTTGAGAACAAAAAAAATTCGTGACTACATTCGTGTCACAGTATTTATAGATAAATAACTAAAGATATGCGCTTTGTTGTAGTATCAAGGAGACTGAACTTAGTATACAGAAACTTTACTCATTTCTCAATGTTTTAATGTAGAACAACCTGTAATTTATTACTTCACCTTACTCTGGTTTGATTTTTATTTTTACTTAAATTAAATATTGTCTATCCCAAAAGTGGAAAAGGTTTCTAATTTTTGAAACTTAAAATATGTTTGCAAGTCATAAGGGAGCAAAATTTACAGGGTGAGTCGCTGAGCGCAGTCCACAATATCTCATAATTATTATTAGAGGCTAAACTTGTAGGGTTATTTGAGGACTATAGCCTAAAATTGTTTTTAACCATAAAGAATATTCCGTTTTTACGGCGTAACACACAACTTGGATTGTTTAAATTAAATACCGTATATATTTTGCCCATATTCTGCTTAGCCTCTTCCTAGGCTTTATAACTAAACCTTATTTTGGAAATTCCGATGCGACGTTGCCATGTTATTTCAATTTTCCCAAAATTTTTTAACAACGGAAGGGATCTCAAAAAAAAGCAATTGATATTTTCCTAAAAAAAATTACCACTTTGAAGATGTTTTAAATGTCTTGTTGTGAAAGAAAGACTACCTACATTAAGAAAAAACTTGGTCGCTCCTGAAGTACAATGAAACCTATCCAGAATTTTTGTGTTGACCTTTTGACGTCATCAACATTTTTTCAAGGACACGTATATCAACTTGGATTGATGCAGTGTAATACTACAGTATTGTATTCTCAAAATTTTCTGAGAAAAGGGAGTGAGCCATTCCTGATTTATTAAATAAAATAAACTGACTCATTCACTAATTTTTTTTTTGAGCCACCTGTCTAAGCAAATCTAAAAAAAGTGAAGGCAATGACAAATCATAGGTGAACACACATTACATTTTGGGTTGAATTTATTTTTTGGGGGCCATAAACAGATATATTTTGATTAACAATTTACCATGCCTACAATAACTTTAAAATGTCTGCAAAATTTCAAAGTATTCAGTTTGGCAATTCTTGATTTATTCAATAAAATTACTGATTCATTAATTTGTTTAATTCACCCTGTATAAGCAAATCTAAAAAATATTAATGCAATGATAAATTACAAGTATAGATTGATCATTTATTTAGCAAAATTTTGAGATTGCGTTATCAACTTTTTCATTAAAAATTTATCATCCGTATCATAACTTTAAAACATCTGCAAGATTCCAAAACGTTCGGTTTTTCAGATACAAAATTAAACTGCAAAATGTTCTTCTGTAATTTTGACTTTTTTCCAAAAATCTAGATGTTTCGGGTAAAACTCAACACGGAGTTAAAAACTACGTGTGTATGACTATGTGATTTTTTTACAATTTAAAACCCATTTACTATGTCCAATTTTGAAGTGATGTCATCACATTATTGATAAGGATGACAAGGACAAATTTTGGTTAGCGTATTACCATCTACATGCTGTTCCTAATGTAAATACAAACTTGACAACAATTGGCCCAGCACATTCAGAGTTTATCTGTCTAATAAAAATTCGAAACGGCTGATAGACGGACAATTGGACAGACGGACAGACAGACGAGATCGGGGACCCAGTTCTTCGTATTGTAGGGGTCATGAAAGGTCGAGAAAACGTAAAAGTAGAGAATCGGTTGACGGACTCGATTACAATACTTCTTTGGCTTACGTTCGGGAAATAAAAATGGCAAAATTGAAGCCCCACCCACCCGCCCTTTCTCAATTGGAATGATTTTTTTTATTTGTCGTGAGCCGGGGGACGAAAATTAAAAAAATAAAGTTATCGTGTTGTTCAAAGAAAACTATATGGATTAAGTAATAGAGAGAGCCAAAGCGTAAGCTCAACCTATACCCGCTTTGATCTCAATTGTGACCAATTTTTCATTCGTTGTCAAACCGAGGGGCCTAATTATAAAATTCTAATTTCTCTACAAAAATTTACCATTGTGGTCATGTTTTATGTTTCTTATTGTGAAAATAAGACTACGTACGAGCATATTAGGAAAAAAAGGGTAAAATATGAAAAAACTGAAATATAGATATTTGAAAATTGTACAGTTTTAGAAGTTTCTCATAAACACCCTGTATCTTAAAATTTGATTGAATTGGTACTACAGTAAAGTGCGTACCTTTATTTCTCTCCACAGATTTTAAAAATGACTTTACTGCGATTTTTTTGCAAACCTTTCCATCGCAAGAAAATTGCCTAAGAAGAGATCATCAAAATATGTAAAAATTGTGTTTCAGTAAAAAAAATAATAAGTTGTCCGTAAAAACTGACTCGTACAATTTTTATCTTCGACTTTTTTTCTAGTAATTAATGAAATAGCGATGAATGTGTAAAATATAAAAAGGGATAGATTAGGTTGGTATGGCGCAGAGTTGTTATGATATATTTAACAAATGGCTGTTATGACATATTTTTGACGCGAGTGTTAACACAGAAGTAAATAAATACAAAAGTAATAAAACTGATAAGCAGTCTTCGGTATAGCGCAAGTGATACTCATTGCCGACCGATCGCCAGCGCTATTGCAGTGGCCTACATCTTCGGGTATTTTTAATAAGAATTAATACTTTTTCTAGGTTTTCCGCAGTTATAATACGAGTTCTCCTAGATGTTAAAATTGTTTTAAAAATTAAAAATGACTGTTCAATATCACAGTTTTCGTGATAATCTTGATCAAATAAACCCTGAACTGCATCAAACGCCACTGAGGATGAGAGTGCACAGTCGGCCAACCAAATTTATTGTACAACGTCGCGCCGTCGTATTTAATATTTGTCTGATTGATTCCCCATCACTTCGGCTATGCCTAACTTTGCTGATAACAGTGATAAGATTATACTAATTTTTCCAGAAATCAGAAGAACTGAAACGAATTGTTAAGCGTTTTCAATGAATGTTATACTGCTATCTTAATATCGAGCTATACATTAGATCGTATTCGTCCTATCTTGTTAGACAGAATTTTCCTCGTTCTTGAAGTACAATGAAACAAATCTAGTGTTTTAGAAAAAAAAAAAAAACGTATATAGACAATTCCAACCACAGTATAAAAAAAATTAAAGCAGTCCATGGGGGGACCCACCGAACACGCGACGGGATAGGATTCCCAACCTTGGTTTTACGGATTTGAATTTTTTCCTGAAATCCTAGAGTAACAAATCAAGGCGACTTCATAAACCACAAGTACAGAAGTACGTTGTATCTTAAGGAAAATAGCCCTATTTTCACGTAAATCTAATCTGATATAAATTTTATGAATGTATTAAGGAATACAAAGATTGTAAAACAAAAAAAAAACTTAAACGTAATTCACTTCCATCGAAATGGTAGGTATGAATTTTTTATCCACAAAAACATAGCGACCTTGAGTCATAATAACAAAAAATTCATAAATTAACAAAAACATGAACCAAGTAAACATATACAATGCTATTATTTTCCACGCTTCAGTACAATTTGTATTAAATATGTATTTCTAAATTATAGCGCACCCAACCAAGAATACCTAAATTCAAATGTGACCACTTAGAGATTCCATGAACGTTTAAACCCGACAAATTAAACCCCTAGTGTTTTTGACACTTTGAAACCAGAAACTATAAAAACTCTCTTGTGAAGTGATTTTTTCAGTAAATAAAATCCTCGTTAGCCTCATCCATTTCCCGCTTTTCCTGAATGAACATCTAAATTTTTATTTCGCGATAAGTGTGCACGATTGAGGTGTAAAAGCCGCACCAGAAAGAATCACGTCACAGAGCAAGAATTACGAGCCGACTCGTATTATCCTGCGTTGATAACATTGTCCTGGCGACGACGAACACGTGTGTTGATAGTATCGCAAGAGTGTAAGGATGTCATCCTTTC